CGACGCCCACCGCGATCAGCGCCGCCATCGGCAACGGGGCCCGCCGCGGCATCCTGGTCAAGGGCGGCTCGCACCTCGAGGCGGCGGGGCGGGTCGACGCGATCGTGTTCGACAAGACCGGCACGCTCACGGTGGGACGCCCCGTCGTCACCAACGTCGTCTCCTTCGACGACGCCTGGAGCCCCGAGCAGGTCCTCGCGCACGCCGCCAGCTCCGAGATCCACTCGCGCCACCCCCTCGCCCAGGCCGTGATCCGCTCGACCGAGGAGCGGCGCATCGAGATCCCCCCGCACGAGGAGTGCGAGGTCGTGCTCGGGCAGGGCATGCGGGTGCAGTCCGACGGCCGCACGCTGCTGCTGGGCAGCCGCGAGTTCCTGCGCGCCCAGGGCGTGACGCTGACCCGCAAGGCCAACGACTGGGTGCGCCGACTGCAGCGCCAGGCCGAGACGCCGATGCTGCTCGCGGTCGACGGCACGCTGACGGGGCTGGTGAGCCTGCGGGACACGGTGCGTCCGGAGGCCGCCGACGTCCTCGCCCGGTTGCGCGCCGACGGCGTCGCCCGGGTCGTCATGCTCACCGGCGACCACCCCGACACCGCCGCCGCCGTCGCCGCCGAGCTCGGCATCGACGAGTGGCGCGCCCAGGTCCTGCCCGAGCACAAGCAGGACGCCGTGCGCGAGCTGCAGGCCGACGGCCACACGGTGGCGATGGTCGGCGACGGCACCAACGACGCCCCCGCCCTCGCCCTCGCCGACATCGGCATCGCGATGGGCGTCGCGGGCACCGACGTGGCCGTCGAGACCGCCGACGTCGCGCTCGCCGGCGACGACCTCGCCCGCCTGCTCGACCTGCGCGACCTCGGCCGCCACACGATCGGGCTGATCCGGCAGAACTACGGGATGTCGATCGCGGTCAACGCCGTGGGTCTCGTGGTGTCCGCGGGCGGCGCGCTGTCGCCGGTCGTCGCCGCGATCCTGCACAACGCCTCGTCGGTCGCCGTCGTGGGCAACTCCGGCCGCCTCATCCGCCACCGCCTCGAGCCGGTCGGCGAGCACGGCCCCGATCCCGCCGCCCGGGTCACCGCGGCTCGCCCGCGGCCCGACGGGGTGGCCGCCGAGTGACGACGAGGTGGCTCCGGGCCCCGTGGAGTGACCCGGCGCACCCCCGTCGATACCGTCGGTCGCGCGCCGTGCCCGCTCGGCGCTCCGGACGCGTGTCGACGAGCCCCGTAGTGACCTTGTCGAGATCGAGGCGTTATCGTTCCGATCGCTCGTGAGCTCGGGGCGGACGGTTGTCGGGGCCGGCCGCCTGGGCGAGAACCACATGTGGCGCGGGAGCTCCCCCGACCGCGCCCGAGACCCGGAGGGTGACCTCGATGAGCACTGCTGCGCACCGTTCCGACGACAACGAGGCCAGCCGCCTCTCCACGCGTCGCCGTCGGACCGTCGTGAGCATCGTCGGCGCCCTCACGGCCGCCGGGGCGATCCTCGCGGGCGCCGCCCTGGCCGTCGGGCCCGGCGTGCCCCCGCCCCCCGGCGACAACGACAGCCCGGTCGCGAAGGCGGCCCAGGCCGAGCCGGCGACGCCGGGCACGCCCTGCTCGGTCTCCGCCCGCGCCTGCGTCGACCTCGAGAAGCAGATCGCCTGGCTCATCCACGACGGCAAGGTCACCCGCGGCCCGATGCGCATCTCCTCGGGCGGCAAGGGCGAGGCCACGCCGATCGGTCACTCGCTGCGGGTCTACCGCAAGGAGGCCGACTACAAGAGCAACGAGTCGCGGCTGCCCAACGGCCAGCCCGCGCCGATGCCCTTCTCGGTGTTCTTCCAGGACGGCGGCATCGCCTTCCACGGCGGCAGCCCCGACCGCGCCTCG